CAGCTCCAGGTTGAGCTGTTGTTCAGCATCTTAGCTGTAGAGGGCAGTGTCACTGGCCCTCATATGTGGGATCCGAACCGGGGTCCTCTGGCATCCCAAGCCAGCTCTTAACCAACGCGCCACTTGGCCGGCCCTATGGTATTATTTCTAAAGGACAGTACTCAATCTCAAAATAAAAACCCAGTGTCTCTGAGATATTATTTTCCTATTTAATTCCCTATTTATTTCCATTTTTTTCTGGTAATATATGACCTTAAAAGCATGTTAGGAAGTTAAATAATTTTTTGACAATGGTGTATGTTACTAAATTTTATCTTTCTTTTAATTTAAATGATTTTAAAAAAACTACAATAAAATGTATATTCTATGACCAAAATACCTGGAGTTGTGAATATAAATGCCATCCTGTATTACCTGCTAGATGACTTGTAAAATGTTGCCAGTTTAATACCTTTACTCCCTTAAGTCCCATTTCCAATCTAAATTTGACACGTAGCCTGAGATCCATAGCTCCCTGTGCTTAGTTACTCCTTCTTTTCCCCCTTTATTGATAATGATCATGTACCAATAAACCTTTCATTGTGAAGGTTCCAGGCACTTTACCTAATTTACATTTATAGGACTCATTTCACTCTTGCTAATTCACATATAGCCTCCTCAGAATGCAATATACAAAATGTTAAAAGTCCAAAAGAAATAGATTTATTTTAAAACAAGACTAAGTAAAAGGATGAAATTCTGTTATAAATCTTTTACCTCACATAAAGTGCTAATGGACCTTTACTAATTACATATGATCCAGCCTACAGTTTTATAGCTTGCCTAATATGTGTCTAAAGTGCCAAAAATTAATTTATACATCACTTGAAGACAGCACTTTTCAAAATATTTACTATAGGCATTATTTTTCCAAGAATGTAAATAGGTTTCTGGGAAAAAGAAATTTTTTTCATCGTCAAATAATTTTGGGAAACATTGCATATTCAAAGCAGCATCTTGCAGATTCATGGCAAACGTTAACATACAAAAAATAGATGGGGGGATGGGGGTTGTTACTTTGTGAGGGTGAAAAGGGTAACTATTGCATTGTTCTGTACACCTGAAACTAACAATAAAAAAAAACATACAAAAACTTCGAAAGGTTCTATGGTTAAGAAACTTTTCCAAAAGAGCTTAATCTAGAATTTTGCAAACTTGTCTTTTTTCACTAGGACAAGCTTTTTCTCAGAATACCTGTTAACATATTGTAGGTTTAGTGCTTCAAACAAAAGAACTTGGCAAACGTTGCCAGAAAATAAAGCAGAATGAAGTATGAGCAAAACTAACAGAAACAGAACTTTGGAAAATATACTGGTTTTCAAGAAATATACTTACTGGCTCAGGGTTTGGATTCAGGGTTTGGAGTAGGACATACCTGAATTGAAATACTGCCTCTGCCATTATAACTCTTTTAACACAGGCAAGCCAGTCAATTGCCAAACCTCAGTATTCTCATCTAATAACACAGAGTTATTAAGAGTTCTAAACTCATAGTGATAGGCTAGTGTGATCACAAAAGGGCCAAACCCAGGAGTGGGTACACAGTGATGATGGTGATGATGGTGATGGTGAGATGAGAGGGAGCGAGAGGGAGAGAACATGAATAAGAAGAGAGTAATCACATATGGAATTCCACAAGAATTTTTCTCAGTAGCTGATTATCTCTATTCCTCATCTGACACTTCCTTAAATCATCTGGAAAATTTTAAACTCAGCCTTCTAATGTGTCAAGCAGCAAACGACATTAAATACAGTATTTTTATTATTTCTGTAATTATCAATTCTTTATAAACTAGATATAAAGAGTCAGATTATTTGATCAAATTATACTCAATACTATTAATTTTTATCATTTTGCATTTAAAGACTATATTATACATTTCAAAAACCTTATTTTCTTAAATATCCAAAATGTCCCTGGAATAAAATTTTGATTTCAGCCTTGTGAGATCCAAAGCAGAAAATCTGGTCAAGCCCTCGTGGACTTCTGACTGACAGAACTGTCAGCTAATAAACTAGTATTGTTTTAAACTATGAAATTGGTGGCGAGTTGTTCAGCAGAAAAATAAAACTAATAAAGTAGGTCACTATTATTATCCCCGTTTTAGAGAGGAAAAGTAAGGCACAGGTTGGTGAGGTAAATTGCCCTCAGTAGGTCTTAAATTAGTAAGTGGTGGAGCCAGTTACTGAACCTAAACAGTTTGAATCCAGAGCCTACCACATTGTACTGACAACAATTAGGGAGAGTTAACCGGGTGCTAAGCACCAATGCATTTTTACATATATTGCTTCACTAAATCATCCCAACAAGCTTTATGAGATGATGATGATGATGATTTTCATTTAACAGTTGAGAAAACCAAGGATTAAAATATTGAAGTAATCTGCCTAAGATTAAGGCATCAGGGAGGGATGGAGCCAGGATATGAGCCCTGGTTCAATTTCAGGAGTGATTTTCATAGCCATTATGTTGTAGCTTCGATTTAGACAATCCTCTAACTTATTTATTGTATATTTTTCAATTGAAGCAGCTATAATTGTGATTGTCATTTTTTTAGTACAGTCTGCATTTTCTCTGACCTTCTTGATTTATCATTTTATTTTATTTTTTTAATTGGGGAATTGGGGGATGGGAACAGTGCTGGGGAATTGGGGGAAGGGGAACAGACAAGTTGCTGTCCTTTTGTTCTTCAGTCTAGTTGTAGAGGACGTTNTCTCTGCCTCTCTCTCTCTCTCTGCCTCTCTCTCTCTCTGCTTCTCTCTCTCTCTCTCTCTCTCTCTCTCTCTCTCTCTCTCTCTCTCTCTCTCTCTCAGAAGTGGCTCCTTCTGCTGGAAGAGAAAAGGGAGACAACTGCAGCCACACCCTGCCACCTGCCACCGCCTTCTGAAGTTCCTGCATTCCTACATCGCCTGTACCTTTTCCATCTATGCCAGAGGCACAGGGGCTAAGGGAAGCACCTTTGGTGTCTGAGATTCTCTTGGTTTCCAGCATGGGTTTTATAAATAACCACGTTAAGGATTCCCCTGAAGTCCCGTTCTCACTATAGTCAGAAAAAGAAGTTAGATTTTGAAAAGTGGCTCTTGGAGCACGGAGCTGCGTGAGAGACAGAAGCCTGCAAAGTGAATTGTCCTGGATTCTCGGGAAATGCAACCTAGTCAGCAGCCAGACTGTCATCAGCTAAGACAGAGCTGCTCTACTGTTCTGTCTGCACCTTAGTTAACTTTGGGCTGGGGAGAGAGGGTTGTGGGCTCAGCTGTTCACTGGGACAACAAGGTGAAGGCATAGGGACACGAACAGGAGCCGTGGGTCTCGTGAAGCAGGGCATCTGTTTCAGATGAGAAATACTGGGGCGACTTTGGGAGCCCTGCAAGAAAACAGACAGCCGAGATAGATTCTTGCAGCATCACTGAAGTGGATCAAATTACCCTGCTACCCACCAAAAACAATATAAATGGACTGGTTTTTGCAGTGAAAGTGGCTGAACCAAATGCAGCCCATGGCTTACAATAGTGCTTTCTCCTCTGTTTTTCCGTTAGAATGATTGCTTAGTGTACATGGATTCAATTTCCGCAGTTGCAGGTACCAAAATGAAACAGTTTCTTTCTTTCTTTCTTTCTTTCTTTCTTTTTTTTCCTTCTAGAGAGGGAGGGAGAAAGAGAGTCGGAAACACAGACAGAAAAAATGAAGGAAACGTTCTGAAAGGTAAGGGTTTGAAAGGCGAATGTTCATAAGAGAGGGCCCTTGTCTATGAAATCTCATCTACTTTTGCTTCTTTGAGTCTGTTAAACTTAATTTCTACCCTCCTTTTGGAATTTGAAGTGGGATCAAAGCTGCGAGGCCAATGGAAAAGTAATACTGCTATCGAGGAGTTAAAGTATTGTACCACTGACAAACAAAAAACAACAGCAGCAACAAAAATGATTTCAAAACAAGGTTTGTTCAGATCTCATGTTTGGTGGGAGGGTAAAATAACATTGTTTTTAAAAATGACGTTCAGGGAAAGAGGGAGAATCATTTGTTTATTGTCTATTTTCATGCTTATAGCCACAGATATTAGAATAAGACATCATTGTCCAGAGCTGTAGGAAAGAAGTTTTAAAAAATCAAATTCCAACTTTCTGGCACATTGTTATTACTTAATTTTAAAAGTGTGCTTTCAGTCATGCTGTGGCATGTCCACCATAAAGTACTTCTTTGTTTTTTTGAAATGAGACGTTTAGTATTAGTTTTAAAGTATTTCTTTCTTTCTTTTTTTAAGATTTTTATTGGGGAATTGGGGGATGGGAACAGACAAGTTGCTGTTCTTTTGTTCTTCAGCCTAGTTGTGGAGGACATCGCTTCACTGGCCCAAGTTGTCACCATCATTGTGCTTTTCCCAGGTGAGGCAGATCAGTCACCGGCTTCTGGACGGTCAGTCACACTGGCTACTGGCTACACACGGTAGCCCAAGGCAACCCACTGCAGCAGGGGCTGCAGCCTACGCTGTCGCCTGGGACTCA